TACTATCTGGCAGCGCTATCCAAAGAAGAATCAGCGAGATGGCCATTGAAATCAAGGATCAAGTTGTACAGGAGATCAGATCTGCAGTATTGGGCTTATTTTGAGTTCAACTTGATGAATATGTTGATGTGAAATCGTATTTCCAGTTGCTGATATTTCATGATATGCTCACTCAGGTTCGTTTAAAAAAGAATGCCCCGTTTGTTCTCTTGAAATAGCTGCCAAGGCCTCAGATATTTAAGAAAAGGTTTCATGTCTTTTTAATCGGGAAATCATTTCTTGGATAATGTCTGTGTGTGATGAAGAGGTGGAGCACCAGCTATGGCGGGGAAAAAATTTGCATTTTAGATTAGTATGAAAAACCGAGCTCTAATAGTAAAAGGCATTCATTGCATAATCCATCGTCGGGCACTGACCTCAAAAACACTTCCAGCTTCACTACGGAAGGTATTCGATCAAACAGTTCAAATGGTGAATTTTTGTCAAAAGAGATGTATCAACTCACAACTTTTAAACCAGTTATATATTGATATGGTTGCATGCCATCATTTGCTTTCTTTTCCACACAAATGTTCGATGAATTTCAAGAGGAAATGTGTCTGAGCAAGGATTTGTGCTTAGAGACGAACTCAGATTATTTTCTGAAGTTCAGTGTATCATGGAATTTTTCATTCGTCTCGCTTGTCTGATTAAAATTTTTGAGCAGCTGAATAAAGTAAAGTTGTTGGGTAGAAATATGAATACAAGCATAATAAAATTCATTGATTTCTTGAAAGTATTCACAAGCAAGCTATAAAATTGGATGAGAAAGGCATGATAAATAAAATGAAATGCAATGTTTAAAAACTGTTATCAGTTATTTTTGCTTGTGGTGATAATTAAGCACTTCGAGAATTTGTTAAAAATAAATTATGCAGCATTCGACAGCAGTGGAAAATGAATTCAGCTGATATTTTACTAAACTCGGTGAGGAGGAGTTAGATTTAGTGCGCAGTTCATTTAGCGATGATTCAGTTTAACCATTGTCGGTTAGAAAGGCTTCTGATGATTGTTAAGATGATCAAGTCCTGAAGTACTGATTCGGGACAGAGATATGTGTTCGATGAGAAATCAGTCACAGAATTTAGTGCTATTCTAACCCAAAAGTGGCACAAAGCGCTATCGATGCATTGCTTGAGTTTGTTTCAGCATTTCTTTGTGGCAGGCTTATCAACTCTGTTGCAAACGAAAACGACGCAGCGAAGCTGATTGGAGGTTCAAAATCACTACATTGTGCCCTTTGAAACACTCCTACGCTTATCCAAGAATTGGCAAAGAAAAGCAACCTCGTTTTTCTAATTGACTGTAGTCTTCATGTAAATTGACTGAATTGTAATACCCTGGCATTCTATGGAACTTTTTGTTTATTTAAGTATACTTCAGTTTAGTGTGTTAAGCAGTTAATTGTGAATATTAAAAACTACTTTGATTTTAAATGTTTATTTTTGAACTGTTACTTTCACTTAGCTTTTAAAATCCATCCATATTTTCCTTCATTGTTAAATTCGTAGCACTCCGTTATGAAAGTAAATGTATTTGTACCATAATACAAAAAATGAAAGATTTTCAAAATTATGTGCATAGTATTTTGGATGCCTCGTTTGAGTCAGACAATTTTTGCAACGGTAATGACATTCTTACGTATTGTGAAAAGCGTGTGTGTCAAAAATATTGGAAACGATTTCAATAGAGGTTGTAATAAAAATTTGCTGGGGCTACATTATAAACCCTGCCATCAGACTACCCTAATAGGTATTTCGTATGAATAAGACTTCTTGTAGCGAGACCAAACCCAATCATTAGGTCAGCTTTCATGACTGGATATCCGTTCCGGTCGTAGATCTAGACGCTTGATGGGATCTTCAGCGTTTCCAGTCCCGTGCCGGAGTTTAAACTTCAGCAGAAGATAACCCGAATCTCTAGCGGAGTCCTTCGAGACACTTTCCACTACATTGTCCTTAGCCATTCCCAAGATCTTCGGCCAGTTGGTTAGACAAAAAGTATCGCTTTCGCCTCACTTCTTAAGGCACTCAGACCAAAATCGTCGTAGCTCAGACTTCTCTGTCTAAAAAATCACCGGCTTTATACGAAGGCTCAGAATGTTAGATTTTGATGTTTTCGTTGTTTCTTTTTCTCAGATGTCAGCTGAGATAAGGCACACGGAAAGGTAATTTGCATTTTAGCAGTTCTTGCAGCATCTCAATTCCGATTAGTTTCCGCGATGTTTTTATTGGTTTTGTTTTCGAAAGGTATGAAATCCGGCGATTTTTGCCAGGCACTAATTGTAACCATGCTAATTTACTCAGACTACCCATAGTTTTTTCTCTCTCCAAAGAGCACTGCACTCAAGACTGTCTTTCCGTGAGACGTCGCATGATTTCTATCGTGGTCAGCTAATAATGATGTAGTTCCTCTCAATATCCTCGGTTTCTGAACAAAATCACAATTTCGTCTGAAAATGAACCTACGATGAGTTGACGCGATTCGCTTCTAAGCGTTACTCACTGCTTATTTCTACTGAGTATTGTTGAATTAGCATGTTTAATATGTTTGCTAAAGATCTTACTATTTTTCCTTCGCTGAAAATAGAAATCGCCTCAGGCGATTTAGTAAGTTACTTAAGTATGCTATACTTTACTATAATGCATGATCACTACTGTTTTCTTATTTTGGCTTGTATTGTGTAGCATGAAGACATACAGGCAATGCAAACACTGCATGCTGATCGTTATGGTCATACAAATCTTGCGCTGGAACTCGACGGCGAAGTCGCCATTAATCCATTACAGCAAAACCTTGAAAAGTTAAACTTACAGTATGTCACTTTCCACGTTACTCTTTCAAGCTGTCGCTATTTTCATTTGACAAGGTCGATTTAAGGTTCGTCGCAGGCGTGATCTTACGCGAACGGTTACCGTCTTTTGAACGTATGTTATGGAGGGCGTGTCGGGGTAACGTTTTTCTGAAACAAGCCGATATAGGTGAACCTCTTGAAGATCCGATCACGGTAACGCTAAGTTTTCTTACATCAAGATATTCATCTAGATTTTTTAGGGTGACTATGTTCGTAAATGCGTCGTCATCATATTCTTTCAAGGGGAGCAGCTAAAATCTCGTGTTAAGAAAATTTGCGAAGGGTCGGTAGAAGTAAAATTGATAAGAATTAACATCAGTCTGTTTTTATTTCAGATTTCGTGCGACTCTGTATCCGTGTCCCGAGACGTCGCAGGAGCGCAGAGAAATGGCTCTCGGTGTGATGACTCGCATCGAAGATCTGAAAACGGTAGGCGAGACCACTGCTTATCCAACGAAGGTTAGCACATTGATGGCGAACTTTCAGGTGTTGAGTCAGACCCAGGATCATCGCCATCGTGTTCTGATGGCCGCTTCCAAAAACATTCGCATCTGGTTCACGAAGGTGCGAAAAATAAAGGCCGTCTATCACACGTTGAACTTGTTCAACCTTGACGTGACGCAAAAATGCCTAATTGCCGAATGCTGGTGCCCTGTCTCAGACCTGGATAAAATACAGCTGGCTCTGAAGCGCGGAACGGTATTGCTTATCAGATGCTTACGTTCTCATATGCTGCGGTTGTTCGTGAAATATAGTATAATCTATGTCAAACTGCCTAGAAGCACTTATGAGAAATAGTAAGAAAGTGCACTAAAAAATATAGCGGCTGTGTTGCATGTGAAGACGAGATAGCCACAAATTTTCACATTTTCGATTTGTCTGGTCCGTTCATGGGTTAATGAGGCATCTTGCAATGAAAGACAGAATAATTCTTTTGTAGGGCTCTGGGCGGAACCGCTGGAAGTCGAACAGAACCCAGGCTTATGTGTATTGTAGTAGCTGATTTTTGATCCTTGGGTTGAGAAGAAACGTTTTAAAAGTGCACTAGCATGTTTTAATCACTTAATAAGTTTGGCAGAAAATGGGAATAGCATGTATAAAATTGGCTCAAAGTGTATATTTTTTCACTAAATAGATGTTCTTTGAAAATCAAGAAGTTTTTAGAGGAAAAGATTGAGAAACTATAGTTTCCTTTTAGTTCTTTATTCTTTAGACGAGAAAACTCATTGCATTTATACCTAGTAAAAACGTACATTGGTAGGTGAATGGCAAGACAGAAAATAACGATGTGCAGTTTCTAAATCCATCTAAACCGGGCGCTCATGTTGAACTTTTAACCATATCCTTGCATCGTTTAGATACCTGTACAATTCGTGCTTTTTGCTGATTTGTAGTCAACCATCCGCTTGTTTGAGGCGAATTGCAGTGGTTAAGCATACGTATTAGATAGGCAGTATTGCCATGGTTTCGTAATCACTGATATGGTCACGCCATGATGCGATATTGTCACCATTGTTCGCAGATCATCGATGTCGTTTCTCTAGTTGACCGAAGTACATTGGGAAGATGGTTTGCTCAAAGGAATTAGCAGTTAAAATTTTTGACTTTGCTTGAATTTTAAGTGGGTTTCTTTAAAGTGTGCAAGGCAAACAACGTACTACTGATCCACTGACACTTGAGTTTTCTTTATGGTTACCAAGTTTCATTTTAGGAAGAAAGTGGTAGCAGCATTCCTTCGATTTTAAACCGTATGGAATGTGCGGAACCTCCGCCAACGTATAATCGTACGAACAAATTCACTTCTGGATTCCAGGGCATTGTCGATGCATACGGCGTTGCAAACTACAGAGAAGTGAACCCAAGTATATTCATTCGTGCCTATTTAATAGATATCATCAACGTCTTTTTAGCGCCTTATACAATTGTTACGTTCCCGTTTCTGTTTGCCGTCATGTTCGGGGACATGGGCCATGGCTTGCTAATGTTTTTCTTTGCGTTGTTTCTAGTCGTCAAGGAAAAACAGCTGGCGGCGAGGAAAATTAGGGACGAGGTAAAACTGCGTTACAGTAATTTCGAACATCGGCGAATACGGGCGCTCATCTTCTTTCAGATATTCTCAATCTTTTTTGGCGGTAGGTACATCATCCTGCTCATGGGAATATTTTCGATTTACACCGGCTTCGTCTATAACGAAGTTTATTCGAAGTCAATAAATGTTTTCGGTTCTAGTTGGAAATCGCCATTCTCTCCTAACGAACTTCCGTAAGTTTCTTTCTATTGTTACGGTTGTTTAATCGGCTTGTGAAATAGTATGCTTGTAAAATGGCATAACTGTAAATGAGTCTCACTTTTCTATTGCATTCTGATAATTAGAAATAGGCTAAGAAAAGTGAAATACCCTTGTACGTCTATCCATTGATTCAGAAGACTTCTCTTCTTGTTTTTAATCTCGTTTACCTTTTTTGAATGTTTTTATGATTCTGTGCTTATGGGCATAACAGGCAACCTATGGTTTAGATTTTTATTTTGCCGCCAAGTTTTTGGCCAGACAGTACTGAACGATTGTTAAGGTAGACAGGTTTGCTTATAAACAGAATTCTCGCTATTCTTTTCTACTATTTTCCCGTTTAACGTGAAATTTCGAAGACATAAGTTAAATTGTTCCTGTTAATTTAACGACGTACGTTCATGGAAAAAAACTGTTTTTAAGGGGGGGGGGAACTGTTGGGAAAATCTGTTAGGTGATTTCATGCTCCAATACCTGAATTTTTTATGACCTGACCGGAAGCAGGACTGCATTAAAATGGATGCACTAATCCGTTTTGCGCATCAGACGCGGATGATATAGCTGACTGTTCCCAGCTTAATGTCTGATGATTTTCTTCTAATCACCATCAATCAATTACCTCAGTGATTAACCAATATCTCCGCTCGAAATCATGTTTTCTATTTTGCAGAATAACAGCTAAGTTCACTTTACGTAAGTGTCCCCCATTTTCCCCCACATTGAACTCTTCAGGACCTCATTCTGCTTAAGTAAAGAAATGTAAATTATGAAAGAGACTGCTAAAAAATAAACGTGTGAAGTTAATTGTATACAATTTTACATATTATTCCGTAGCTGACCCTCATAGTTGTGAAGGAAACTGATTAACCAATCACTGAAATTTATCTGTGACAGCTGATTAGGCTGTGTGCTCAGTGGCATTAAAAACTTCACGTCTTCATATAATGAATTATTAGGATGGGCTGAGATTCCTGATCAGCTCGATGAGCTATTGATTGTTCTTGATTTCGTTGGCGACTTACCTTGTTAATATATTGTGCTGATGTATACAGTAAAATGTGGCTAGTTCCCAAACTCTTCTATTCAGATATTTTTTAAAAATTTATGACCAGATAAACAAATTTAGTGCGAAAGTACTTAAATTATTCGAAAACAATTGCGGTACCATTCTCAAAATATCAGTGCATTGGTTCTGAACAATTCGGAAAAGATTACGAAAAAGATTTTCTTAACGCCTGTATACTACTGTCACCAGATGTTCACTGGGAAAAATATTTATTTACTTACCCTTGGAAAGCAGTACAAAGTTATGTATTACCGCATATCGCACTGACTTTATTCAAGATAGAGGCGTATATTAGCTTCAGAAGTCGTGGTACCTCGTATTTTGGAGTCACATGGCTAGCTTATGGTTCGTGCTGCTGGTTAAGCTGTTTTTGACCACTCGGGAGGAGGGGTAACACGGGGTCATCCAATCTGCCCAGAGGTCAAATCCCTATGTCATGGTTTCCGTCATCGCAGGACTGGATGATTAATGTGTCAATAACCCCTCTGTTCAGCCAGTTTCTATCTTGACGATGCC